TACCCTTTCCCCCGCGAAAGCGATCCCGCGTTCTTTCTTTTCACCAATCTCAATGCAAATCCCTCCCATCTGGCCGAATACCATCTCTTATTGAAGATGCTTCATTCACGTAGTACGCTGATCCCAATGGATCCAACAATACGATTCTGCTAAGAAAAAGTTCGCGTGGTATTAGGAGCAGGAGCCGTTACATTATAGAACAGGTTCTCAATAGAATAGTAATGTCCCTCTACAGTTACAGTTAATGGTATGATATGTCCGAACGATGTAGTTGCATTCTATGGAGACTTTTTTAGAGAGTGTTCTAATATTCTTGTGCCTTACGAGGTTGTTAGGTGGAACATTTATTAAAATGGCCTAACGTTTCGACTTAATCGTCGTCTTCAGAGGCCAGTGGTTCCACCGTTTGAGCGGATAGGTCCGCTGCCACACTAGAGCGCTGTCAGTAGAAAAATTTTACTTTTTACTCTACTTTAATTTTACTTTTTTCTACTGACAGCGCTCTAGTGTGGCAGCGGACCTATCCGCTCAAACGGTGGAACCACTGGCCTCTGAAGACGACGATTGAGTCGAAACGTTAGGCCATTAAATAAATGTTCCACCTAACAACCTCGTAAGGCACAAGAATATTAAACACTCACTACTAACATGCCGAGGTTGCAAGAAGAGAGAAGCTGGAGAATACTTTTTTTAGATTTTTTCTACCCTCGCACAAAAAAATCAACTATGGTGCTGCCAAGATCCTGCTTGCTTGAAGCGAACGGGCTCCCAGGGCTTTCATAATCTTACAAATATGAAAGGTAGATTTGCGTGATTGTAAGCAGTATGTATCTGCTGAGATCTTACCATCTTCACAACTCCATCGATGAGTGACACGTTGTCCTACCTGAAAATCATTAATTCGTAATTTGAAACGCTATGAAGGCTTTCCTTGGAGAAGCCGTTAAGCTTTTTGGCACACTTCGGCCCGCATCGGCAGGATTCAGGCTAAGTCAATGAACTCCATATGCCCGCAAGCTGGAGGGGCCGGTGGCTGGGCCGTACTTACTATAAACTCGCGGCAATGGATGCCCTTTTGGTCACTGGGAGCAATAAAAAAGCGCCTTTGGGTAAGCTGGTAGTCACAGGAAGGACCCTGGTTAGGGCGAAGATGTGATTATATTTGTCTTATAACTGAAAGATGTCACTAAAAACGCATTCGCCGCTATGTTCAAGTGAAGTACGCAGCCACGCCCACTCCATGTCGGGAGATATGAGTGTAATGGTTAAGTTGCATGAATCCATGTGTACAGCCGTGCTCGCTGCGAATGATGGGGCGTGTCAAAGGGGAATGGACCTGGTGCAGCGTAAACTCGTTTTTTTTCCTTCAACAAGCGACAAAGAGGTGCATATCAGTCGTTTTCCTGCCAATTGTTGTCGCCTACTCGCTTCAAGAGCTGCTGGGGAACGGCTTGACGGCGTGCCACACCCATTCTCACTGACACGCCCCATCATCCGCAGCGAACAAGACTGTGGGTCACAAGACGTGCCTGAAGTGTGAAAGAAGTGTATTGATCATCAGAAAAAAAGGCAACGCTGACCTGCGCGAAGTGAACTGCTGGTCCTGAAGGACCATCGTGTAACTGATACATGCAATCCGGTAGCTGATATTCCTGTTCAACCAATTCGGTTTTCAATTTGCTTAACCTATTTCAATTACTTAAATATTAACTGCTTGATGAAGACTCCAAACAAGCCAATCAACAAACCCGACATCGAACTCAGTGCCAAGGCTTTTGACTGATTCCAGGAAGAAACAACGGACATGGAAAGCACGATCCATACCGGTCACGAAAAACTGAAATACTGATAGAAAAATTTTGAAAGAAATGGATTTTAATAAGCACTGTGCATGGCATGGAAAAAAAGTGGAAAAAATCTAGCAAAAATCTTGAGGCTTCGTTCAGACTTTGCCATGACGCCCTCCTGGTGCACTGTCGAACTGAAACTGCAATAACGCTAGTGACAAAGTCGGAAACGTGGCCGTAGAGGATATCGATCGGAGCCAGCCGCTAGTATTTCGAGAGATTACAGGAGAATGGGAGGGTACCAGACCGTGTGATCAAAGCAACGCGTACCGTCCTAGTCTCCTATACTCCCTCAAAACACTAGTGGACCGCGCCATTGATGCCCGGAGGTCCGTTTTTCACAAAGGGATTCTTAACAACCCCCTCCCTTTCCAAAATTTTACTCCTCTTAGCTTTCGCAGATCGCATGTTGTATTTCAGCTCTTCATAATCGCCTTCAACTTACCGGATGAAACGACACGACCAGCGTGAAAGAGAACGAAACTCCACGGGGGTGCATCTAAAAGACCTCTTATGGATCTATCCAGAATTGTTGGAAATTCAATGACTAATCAAAAACTGAATCAACTACCGTCCTTTGCCTCCTCATATTGCAGGCACCGATGGGTAGATCGAAGTGAGCATGATTGGACGTCTCGGCCTTGCCGTTTTGTAGACACTGATTGTTTTCAGCTTCATTCTGTACATATAGTCGACCTAAAAATATATGAACCTCTCTAGAAACTCGTAAAATTTAAACTCGTGTTCCAGTTCCGGATATACCCCTCCCCTCTGTCCCTGAAGGCATCCGACTTTTGACTTGTACTTCCATTTGGGTGGCCTCATGGACAGGGGGGTATATCCGGAAATGGAACATTTCGTTCCGGTGACTGATCGTCACTTAGAGGGATGAGCCGATTTCATTTTGAAATTTGTTTGATTTTAATTATACGACGATTTCGAAGGTGCAAGGTACAAAGGGCAATGCTATGTGCGAGTACAGGCCCACTTCAGGTTCACTAACCTCGAAACGGCTTTTCTGTGGTGATCTCAACCACAATATTATCAGCTCCGCAATGTACCAACGGCTTGTCAATTACTCTGTTCTCGATGTCGAAGCACTGGACCATCGCCAAGCACTGTAACTGTGCAGTCTCAGCGAAAACAATCCCGACGAAGAACTGACAAAGAATTATGGCAAAAATGGAGCCTACTATAGGCAGATTCTGCGATAAGCAGTCGAAAAGTTCGTAGCTCGTAGGATCAAAAAACAGAATTGTATTCATTAGTTGACCCTCTCTGGAAGAGAGAAACAGGGGACCGTCGACAAAGCCCTGAATGAGGCCCTCCTTGTTCTAAGCGAGAGCTGATGGGGATTTTAGGAGCGAGATTAGAGGAGAACAGCAAGAGAGGGAGCAAAAAGCGAGAGACAAAAAGGGCACATCTTCCTATCAGGGACAGATTTGACACACTGCGATTCCTTTCGAAATTCCCTCTGCTGGTAGTAGCTCCCCCTTCCCCATCTTACGTACCTTCTTCCTGGTTCTTTCCATCTTCCTACCGCTTTTCGTGTTTCCCCAATGAACTCTCGTCAAGCGACGGTTGAGGGAGGGCGGGGTGGGGTGCATGTCCGACTTGAAACAGGGAAACCGGGAAAAGACAGCGTCCGGAAACATTTCCTCAACGGCAAAATACGACCCCCCCCCCCTACTTGCAGCGTTCAAATTCAAGGCTCGCTAGGGATCTCCGGAGCACGACGTAGGCCGATGACGTAAAGGGCAGCTAGCAACAAGGCGAAGCCACTCGAGCAAAGTTCCATCGAAGCAACACGTTCCTCTTGAACCACCCCCCCAATTCACGACGTTCTCTGGGTGCACGATATAGGCGCAGTATCGCACGCAAAAAAGCACAGTCGCCTTTCGAGACGCAGCCAGTACTCAGAAATGTCGCTCTTTTCCCAGAACAGGGAGCGGCGTCGTATTCAGTCGCCGAAACGGCATGGAGTGGTATATGAGTGGCAACAATGCTGTGATGACTTTTCCCTTCTCACTTTTTTATACACCCTTCTACCTCAACAGACATTGGGGTCATGTTTCGAAAAACATTCCTCAACACCAAGACGTGCCTCTTATAAACAACTCTTCCAGAAATGAGGGGCATATGAAGGGGAAAACTGCAAACCACACCCGTAAGATTAACTTGGACTGTGTCCCCGGCCTGCCAAATGGGCTCGAAGCGAGACCTAAGGGATGCGCAAAGCTGTTGAGCCGGACCAAGCAATTATATCTCAAGCCAACTTCTCCAGAAGTCGTATAAACGCTCACTAATGCTACGCGTTAATAAATCCAATTATAAATAGTCATTATCTGTTATTTTCTATTTATAGGAACCGCCGTAGGTAGGAGTAAAATCGTAAAAACGCGACCAGAAATCAAGAATATGTACTAATAGACTCGTCTTCGAAGGAAATGGTAGGGAAAACCAGCTGATTCAGATGGTCCTCTGAGCTTCACTGTCGTCTTAGCCCCCAAACGTTGTCAGTAAAGTGAAAAAAGAAAGCTTCACATT